TGTAAAGAATATGAGAGTGAGTGAGTGTGTGTGTGTGTGAGAGAGAGAGAGAGAGAGAGAGAGATTAAACATACCATAATACGTTGCTTAAGGTAATCTTAGAATCAGGCTGCGCGGCTTTTACCAAGAACCCGATAGTCTCCATGCGGAATTTAATAGCCTCCTTAATTCTCTTATTGATATTCTTGGCTACACTGATCCGTTTAGCAATGGGTGCGCCACAAAACACCCGGAATCGATCGTTGTGTTCGCTTCCCGTGGACCACATAAAATGATCACGCACCTTGTGTTTCAGGTTGGCCGCAAATTTTAGCGCGTTGTATTTGTCTTTCCAACTTGTTGGGTTAACAAATAATTAAGTTTACATTACATTAGAAAAGTAAATTGCAGCTACGTTCAATAAATTATGTTTACAAACAATGCAACCATTATTTATTATATTTGTACATATTTGCATTTATGGGCTACGCTAAGGATACTTTTAAATAAATATTAACTCTTTGAATACTGTAATATAAAACACTATAATTTAATGACAAAACATAATTTTTGTCATTTATTAAAATTAATTAATGATGTTTATGTGATTTATCTCTCATGAAATATAATTAATATAATATTAGTATTTATTTATATTTCCAATAAATTACTTACAAATTCTGCTTCGCGTCGGCATAAAAGCCCTTCGCCTCGCAATAGGCCTGGAGTGCGGCCTCTGCTTCGGGTATGGGTTGTCCGGTGCCGTAGATCTCGTATTTGGCAAACATACTGTTTATATGTTGTTCATCGGCATATTGCACCCGGATGAAACCTGTATAATAATGACATTTCAACATGGTTTATTATGTTGTATCTCTCTCTCTCTCTCTCTCTCTCTTTCGACATTTTTTAAAAAAATAATTACTATAAATGTTATTTACCCTAAAGTCGGACGTATATCACGCGTATCAAGTGATTCACTCACACGGAATACCCGATGAAAACATAATTGTCATGCATTACGACGACATCGCGTTCGACACATCCAACCCGACCCCCGGTATTATAATCAACAAATATGGCGGACCCGATGTCTATGAAGGGGTCCCTAAAGATTATACCGGAGAAGATGTCACACCACAGGTATTACTAGATTTTTAATTATTTATTTATTTTACAAACAATTGCAATGACTTTTCATTTGCAGAATTTTTTGGGTATACTTCGCGGAGACGAGGAATTAGTCAAAAAAGGCAAACGAGTGCTTAAAAGCAGTCCAAACGATCGCGTATTTGTTTATTTAGATGATCATGGAGCTCCAGGCTAGCAAATAATTAAATTATACTAGTTAAAAATTTTCTAATAAATGTTGTGCACATTTAGGGTACGTTGTGTTTCCAAAAAGTAATCTTATGGCTGAAGATCTGATCCAAACCCTGACAACAATGCATGATGAACATAAATTTAAACACCTAGTGTTTTATTTACACGCATGTCATTCAGGTAATTTTATGTTTATTATTAAAAATTTTATTTTTGGCTTTATTTATTGTANTTTGGTTTACACTGCTCATTGCACGGAGGCTAAATGTCCCAGCACACCCATTCAATCACCATGCGCGTATAACGATGTTATTCGGGATGGTTGCAGTATAGTATGCGGTGGTGACAACACAACAAACTTAAATGCAATTTTCACCGAGTTGGCTCAAAAACTACCTCATGATCAAAAACAATTTAGCCTATTATGGTTGCACCGGACGGGCATTGATGAACTTCCCGCCAACGCGTTCGCTGGCCTGCAATTCAAGTCAATTCAAATACATTTGGCCACAGCTTTACATAATATACACCGGCATGCGTTCAACGGCACCGACAACTATACCACTCATCTGTATATAATCGGTGCGCCGGTCAGCGAACGGGTGGACCGGGAATGGGATCTATTCGGCGCTATTCATAGTCTCCATGGGTTACAAGTGCTGCAGTTGGACAACACTAGCGTACGCGCTGTGCCAACCCATGCCATATCGGGCCATCATCAATTACAATGGATTCACATTTATAGAAGTCCTATTATAACAATCGCCACCCAAGCGTTCAACGATTTACCTAACTTGGTTAGCCTGGATATTAGATATACCATGATTGATAGTGTGGCCGAACGGGCCTTCACTGTGGGAACTGTCGCTAACTATATAAACAAATTAGATCTTAATCTAATAGGTGTTTCGCTGACTGCCGAGTCGTTCGCCGATCGGGCTTTTGATGGCATGAATCGCTCCGCCTATCTATCGCTAAGTGATAACTCTGTCCGGTATTTGAAACGCGAGTCATTCGAAGCCTTTTTGTCGAACAACAGTTATATCGTCGACTCGACCGTCGATTGTAACGATAGTCGCAACCATTGGATTAAAGAGAAATTCCCAGATGAGTGGGAAGGTTTGAAATGTAATGCATAACTCATTTGTTGTGATATTAATTATAATTTAATAAAATTAAAATTTAAAAAAATTATTATTAAATTTGTGACTATAATTCAGTATGATTAATTGTGATTTACACAGACTTAAATGCGAAATTAAATTTTGACATGTTTCCTTTATAATTATTGAAACAAATATTTTTAAAAAAATATTTTTCTCATTAATGTTTATTGGAATTAATTTTAATTAATATTAATGTTTTTGGAATTATCAATTGAATTATACATTTAGAAAAATTAATTAAAAGTAATTAAAATCTTAAATATCAACTGAATTTGAATTTATAAAATTTATTAAACATTTTTATTTATAATTATTTGTCGTTGTATAACCAAGTGTTGCAATAGGTCAGCTACATTTGTGTTATGAAATAAAAATAATCCTATTTGTCTATAAATTTGCCATTAAAATGGTATTGCCGTGGATTTTACATGATCTCAGAGAATGTAATTAACAACTTATTAAGTGTTAATATTAATTTAATTAATTAACGTTATTTATGATAAAACTATTTCTTATAATTTTGTAATTATATTTTTAATTAATAATTAAAACATAAAATACCATATGTATTTATGTGGTGCCGTGTGTAATTATTGTATTTTATTGTTTGTTACCATTTTTATCTAGCACAATGATTAAAATAGCGCTTGTTTTGGTCATCATATGTAAGTAGAGTTACACAGTTTACCCGCAATTAATTAGATTAAAAATAAAATAGAACAATTAATGTAAATGTAAAGAATATGAGAGTGAGTGAGTGTGTGTGTGTGTGTGAGAGAGAGAGAGAGAGAGAGAGAGAGAG